AGAAAACAAAGTTGCATGCAGGGAGAACGAAGACCATAGTTTCGTGGTTAGAGCGTCGCTGGCTTCTTATTATTATTTTTATTTGGAACACAGCCCTGTGTGGTTACAAGTGAGGGTACCTGGTTCGAGTCCTGGTGGTGAGTCAATTTTTTCTTTGTTTCTGTCTTTCTCTCAAACAATTGAATACCTTAGACAGTAGTGTTATGACGTAATTCATACAATGTTTTTTGTTTTGTTTTGATATTGTTTTTCTCCTTTGAATTGAGTTCATTGATTGAGTTCGGTGAGAATAATTTATTTTGTTTCATAAAGTTTTGATTTGAAGTTCTGTTGGGTTTGGGTTTGAAAATCTTTATTTTTACACATCAATTTTTCTTATTCTTCTCCAGTGTATGTCGTATTGCATTTTAATCCATTGTGATAATTTTTTAATTTAATTTTTGCCCGTAAAGAAGGGTTGAAAAACGTCGTGCTTTATCGTTGTGTAATATTGTAATGACCACCGGAAATCAGTTTTATCCACGTGAATTGTTTTCCAGACACTTCGGACTCTCATGTACAAGTAAATTTGTGACCTATATGAAGGTCATTGAGTACTTCATAGAATGTTTCATTTTGCGTGTTGTTGTCAACATAATTATGTAAAAAAGCCATCAGAAATCTGACATCGGAACTAGACTGCGATGTGCCTCAAAGTTGAGTCGAGGTACGAAGTACACTACAAAGTCTTTTGCTAATATGGGACACAGTGGGGAGCCATGGCAACTGGTCGATCATGTTAATTTTCCCCGCACCCGAAATTACATAAATGTAATGTAATAGAATATTATAATGGACCGTATGCGTGTTAAAACAAAATGGCGTCACGATTTATTGAAAGTGGTATAGTTCGTGGTACGAGTGTTCAAACCCATTTGAACTTCATACTGTTCGTCTTCTTTTTGACATGCTCTCTTTCCATCGTCCTTAGCTTTTGTTTGTTGAGAGCTGTTTTGGCTTTCTCCTATACCTCTGGGGGATGCCAAATGATGGTTTTGAGAGGCTGGTGATGGCTGTAAGCGAGAGTTTGCCGATCGGCGTCGTCCTCGCTATAGCGATGAAAATACTAGTTACTGCGCACCTGGCAGATATCACAACACGTCGGAGCGTCCAGGAGCAAAGGAATCTTGGGTTTTCACTGGAATCTAGTTCCTCCAGCATCGTGTAGCCCACCGTCAGTGAATGGCGGTCCAGAAAGGTCGAACCTGGTCTTCTGCAGCATCTCGCAGTCCTGCGAGGCACACTGAATACGCTTGTCATGTATTCTACAAATAAAAATCACGAAGTAGTGGACTTTACAGTGATGAGTCTATCCTGTATACTGCAAAAGACGCAGGAAATGTGACTGGTGTCCGTACACTGGACGCCAATATCATCCCAGTCTTCTCCTGCAGGATATGTTTGACATTGACATACCGATATGTAGTGGGTCGACATTGGCCTGGTTTGGCAGCTATCTGCCTGGGTGGATGTAGCAGGTTTGCATTGGCGCGTCGTCCAGTCCGACATTTTCTTGTAACTGTGGAGTACCGGCAGGGTTTGAGAGGTTGCTCGTGCTGTGAACACATCTCTACTGCCTGTCTCGTCCTGGAAGTGCCGTCTCGCCGCTTCCTTGCTCTACAGTCACGCTGTTATTTCGCTTTGTTTCGTGGTGCAGCTCAAAACCTGCCCAAACAACTGTGAGCTCGCAACATGGTATGGACAAATTGCACCACTCATGCTGGTTAACTAAAACCGGGGTAGTCGAGTAAGCGAGTTCACTCCCTGGGCCATGGCAAGATCTGTTCCGCGCGGGCTATTCCAACCTCCAAGTGCATAGTCACCCTGTAACAAGACGGCAACGTCTGTAGGGCCTTCCCTATCAAAATAATAAATTCTACTACTACTACTACCGATCGATCCATGCGATGGTGGTTGACCTACAAAGAGCCAAGGTCTACGAGTACTACTATTGGATGCTGTCTACATGCAGTCAACAAAATCAAAGTACCTCAGTATGCCCCAGAATAGGGCATGTGCATCTATAGCATGACACAACAGGGGTTCTGGCGGCACCTGTCAAACAAGCAGTAGGGACTAGTGCCAGCTACCTATTGGAGGCTAGCCGCTACAGTCTGTCACTGGAGATATTAGTGAGGTTTTGCATTCCGAAATTCGGCAAAAAGATTCGGCACGCGGGAGCGAGGTCGAAAATGCACACGAAGATTCGGCATGTTTGTTCGGAAAAAGCTCACTTTGCCGAAAATATTTTTCGGATGAATTTTCTTGTAGAAGAGCGCTAGCGCGTAATTTATTCAAAGAGGTTTCTTATATCGGCATCGCTTCGCAGGCGTCTTGGGCGCATCAGCATCGCAAGCTACTTCTGATTGCTCCTCTCCACTGCCTGTCTACTCTCTATCGCCTGGAGTGCCGTTGGAATCAGCAAGAAAGGGAGCACGGGACAGGACGTTGCTGATGCTGGGGCTCACATGAAAACACATCATTTTCGACTTGCAAAACAAACGTTGGAGCGAAAATTCGACATTTTGATGTTCGACAAATGACCGAAGAACGCCGAACCGAAATTCGGAATGCAAAACCTCACTAATTATTATGTTCACTGTTTAGACTGAGCACAATCAATCTGCCCAATGTGTGTTCTGTTCCACCTAATTATAACGTCCCATCGCATCAACCCTACTACACGCACATGTCGTCACTCTAGCACGACTTGTGTTATTATTGTTTATTTTGATTCGCACGATAAATAGAGCACAATAAACGTTAACTTGACCGAAGGTTAAAGGTGACTGCAGATAGAGGAACACATCGAGGTACAGGTACCGGCATCAATACAGTATCAGAGAGAAACAAACAAAAATGAGAGGTACGCAGAAAAAACTCTCGTAAGCCCAATGGGAAGTGGTTGATAAGGGATGAATGCACTCTCCACGCTCATCTACACTGTTCGTGGAAATGCACACATACATACAATAATATACAACATAGCAATAGCATGCACAGAACCGAACAATTTCATGTTCACACATGCAAGCACAGACCTGAACGTTAGTACCAAAAGCCGATACAGACAATATCCCCATACACACAGACGCACACACACACACACACACAATGTCCCATGTATGCGCCCGTGGCAAGAAAAGCACGCAAATCTACAAATGCACTGGATGTGAACCCACAGATTTTCTCTTATAGCAACGATAGCGGATCTGATTCTGAATGAAACACACACACACAATACAATCATTGAATGCCCATCCGCAGATGATGGCAGGTCCTGAAAGAACAGGCAGTGTTCCAGTGATGGGGAACAGAACTTCGAGTGGCGAGTGAGGTATACGCACACACACACACGTGCGTGCGCGGGCACACACTAAAGTATTCAGAAATAGAATCGACATCGTAGTATTCATTGGTTGGGGAATGGAAAGGAAAATAAAACATTGCTGTAGGTTATTGTTGTAAGGACACTGGGAGCACAACAGAAAGGTAAGCAACTTGCTTTGAAGCAAAGAAAGTTATTATTCCACGGATCTCAGAAGGAAGGAATGTTCCAGAATGCTGCACTGGCAACAGGCGGCCTGCATGTGCGCGGCCCCTGCAGTCGGTCCAGCTGCCGGCCTTGCAGTGCTGAAAAGAATGTGCAGTACAGCATGTCACATAGTATCGCAGCCTGGACAAATAGGCGCTGGGAAGTCCTAGTTATGTGCTCACCTACACCACGATGCACCAATCTTCTGAGCTACTTTGGCAACAACTTTGTCCACTTGAGACTCCCATGGGCTGAGCCAGTTATAGAGGGCTGCACCAAGGTGGACGGCAATGACCGCTGATGGCAAGGCAATCCATGACACACAGTCACTAGGGCATCGTCAACATGGCGCTGAGGCTGGATCGATAAAATCAACCTTTAGGCTGCCACGGGGTTGACAACGAGGCCGCTGTCTCGAAGCTAGTCAGTCAGCCTGGTCACCGCCATTGACGAACCAGTCGCCACCGCCAGCAGTGGCGGTAGGTGGTGACAAGTGTGGTGCAATATTGTCAGCAAATTCAGTACTTAGGATAAGATGAGTGACAAAGGGAACGTTGTGTTTGATAATATTGAAGTGAACAGGGATGATCACAAACCCTGCGCGTACTCCACCATGAGTTACAAGAAAATTCCGGACTGGACGACGAGCAAACACCAACCTGCTACATCCAACCAGGCAGATACTATTACGATAGCTGCCAAACCAGGTCAATGCCGACCTACTGCATAATGTCAATGTCAAACAGATCCTGCAGGAGAAGACTGGGGTGTTGGCGTCCAGTCACTGAGTGTACAGACACCAGTCACATTTCCTGCGTCTTTTGCAGCATACAGGATAGACTCATCACTGTAAAGTCCACTACTTCGTGATTTTTATTTGTAGAATACATGACAGGCGTATTCAGTGTGCCTCGCAGGACTGCGAGATGCTGCAGAAGACCAGGTTCGACTTTTCTGGACCGCCATTCACCGACGGTGGGCTACACGATGCTGGAGGAACTAGATTCCAGTGAAAACCCAAGATTCCTTTGCTCCTGGACGCTCCGACGTGTTGTGATATCTGCCAGGTGCGCAGTAACTAGTATTTTCATCGCTATAGCGAGGACGACGCCGATCGGCAAACTCTCGCTCACAGCCATCACCAGCCTCTCAAAACCATCACTTGGCATCCCCCAGAGGTATAGGAGAAAGCCAAAACAGCTCTCAACAAACAAAAGCTAAGGACGATGGAAAGAGAGCATGTCAAAAAGAAGACGAACAGTATGAAGTTCAAATGGTTTTGAACACTCGTACCACCAACTATACCACTTTCAATAAATCGTGACGCCATTTTGTTTTAACATGAATATCGCGGATTGTCATTGCAAGTTCCGAGCAAAAGGATAGAAACTGACACTGAATATCTTGCAGGTTTTCAAAGTCTTACCTTCAGCACAATTTATTGTGTGCAGCATTGAAGCCAACACACATAGTGCAAGCAATAAAATAGATCCCATCTTCCACCTGTTAACAGTACATGCAAAACAATGAACTGGAGTTGTTGCAAAATAGAATCCAAGCCGCTGAATAGCCAACAAGATCATATACATGTAGAACAGCCAACATCACAACTGGAAGTTGCCAATTGCATTAGCCTCAAAAAGCTAGCTGACGATCGGTAGAAAAGAGTGCTTGAAGAGTGGCAAAATGCAGTACTGAAGTTTGGTAAGGTCATACCACTTTGCACTTTTCTGTTCTTGCTTATTTGGCACATATGCTAGTTATTCAAGTGTAGATACTCTGCATCAGAATATCTTATATAAAACAGTATTACTTAGTGCATCCATTTCCATTTAAGAAGGGGTAGTGATCGTGATTGAACATATTGGCGCCATGTGCGTACACTCCACTAACTCATGGATAGGGCCGAAATAAACACAGTCGCTCAGTAATCAAACGTTCTTGATGGTAACGAGTGAATGAAGGAATATTCTTTATTACTGCAACTCCCTGTTTTGCTGTTTGTGCTTGCGTTTGCAAGCATTGTCAGGTCCTGTCAGGTCACAAGAAAATCTACCACTGAATGGCACTGATACACAAGTACGTCACGGTACATGAAGGGATTTGAAAAAGATTAAAATTAGGTTGCATTTCTTCGGTCATTCCCAGTACCAGCCTATACCCTGGACGATGTCCGCCAATATTCCTGTATAGTATACACGCACACACACACACACATGCACACACACACACACACACACACACACACACACACACACACTCACAAAATGAAACTTACATTGGAAAGCCGGTAGTGTGACTCGCTGCCCAGAGCGGCTGTGAAGGGTGAAATAGGGTGGAATGACACCAACTCTCCTCTCCACACACACAGATATCGACGGTGGAGAAGATGTAAATTAAGAAACTTCTGAAAGGCTAACACCGCCCAGAGCTGATACTAAAAAATCACACTAAACTGTACTAGTATCGGACACACTCTGACAGAGAATACATGTGAACACAATAATCGAAAAGCTGACAGGATCGCTTTTCTAAATCACTGTGCAAGCAAGAGTACATAACCCCCAAGAGTGTGCAACTGCCTGCACTACCTCTAGATAGTGCTGCGAGGGCAGAACTTCACATCACGTGACATGGTTCAAAAGGTTACACTGGCAAACAGTGCATAGTGACCAATTATGTACTCTTGGTGCAAGCTAGAGTACATGACCCCCCAGGGGTTATGTACTCTTGGTGCAAGTAAGAGTACATGACCCCCCAGGGGGTTATGTACTCTTGGTGCAAGGTATGAAGGTATGAACCGTATAGACTGTGCAGTTCGAAAATTCGCAAAGCTGGGTGGTTCCAAACCGCGCCTTTATTGTGGTTCTGCCATACAGTATTCGCGGTACCACGCAGGGAGTCAGTCACCAGACACTGGTCAGTTTCAAAAAGATTAGCAATCCTGGCGATCGCCTGGGGAGTTTGCCGCCTTACCGTATCTGTATGCGCGCTCGAAAGCTGGCTGGAACAGTCCGTGCGCCAGATTCAAAATATCGCACTCTATCCGTGTTTTTTATTTTCCAGAGTCAGTGGACTTTGAACTTTTTGAGCTATTTCTTGAGAATTGTTAGTTTCTAGTCATTGCAAGGTACTAGGTGGGCCTTACAAGGCCCTTTTTCGTTCGAGTTCAGACCTGACACCCCGTCCATCGCCGGATAAGGCAAACTTCTATCCTCAGTTCCGAACGTTTTCTCGCGGGGTGCTTCTGTCCCATGCAGCATCACGTCTTCTCCGACTGTCGAAATTTGAATTTTTCTTTACGCAGGACTTTAGTTTAGTGCCGTCAAGTATTCCAGGCACGCGTAGTAACACCCACTACAACATCCAGAAGAACAAGCCTTAGTCTTTTAGTATGTGGTCTCTCGCCGGTGTCCAAGACCAAATAACACCACACCGACCAATTTTCTAACCTCTGTTTTTCTCGCTATTTACATGTATATGGAGGACAGCTGGAAACATGTAGCACTCACAATGAACACATCAGGACGGTGCAATAATGCCACTCAGCTACACCCTGGGCGTGTATGCATTCCTGTCTGCGAGTTATGCCAAGCAACTCGTCTGGACACCAGTGCACACATCCGACAAATGCAGAATATTGGAATATTTTGGTAAAATAGTGAACGGCGAAAGACAAAAACCCAAATTGCAGCCACCTACAGACTAATATCCACATACGCTGGCCGTGTAAAGGAGTGTCAATGAGAATCTTCATTGCGTTACTACAGAAGTGTACGAAACGGAACGTAGCGGACGAGCTCAAAAGTGCACGGCGAGCCAATATAGGCGGCATTGCAGCACATGTAAGACAGTTATGGACAAACAGGCACAGATGAAGTGTTCCCACTATGAAACGGTCTCAGCAGTTCTAAGGAGTAAGAACATGACAATAGCATAGAATGATGTCTTTTGCAAGAAGTGCTACGAGGCACAGCTAGAATGGATAATAGTTGACAGCAGTGCAAGCATTCACAACAAAGCTATTACAGCTGATCGCTTGTCACACTCAGATCTGCGATAATCCTCTGGCTGAGCTAACAGCAGTACTGGGAGAATACATGGATGTTTGCACACTAGCACAAAGAAGTGAGTCATTCTCCTTCTGCGGAAAGGCTGCAATACCCAAGGTCCTCTTCGTACTGTTCTCACACAATGCCAAGACGCGTTGGAGCACGATCTACCTGAGAAGACACACAGATCGCACAAGATAAGGCAGCATTTCAAGTTTTTAACGACAGGAGGAATAATGCATGAAACACAGAAATTAATTCAATGGAAAAAAGTGCTCCGCTCTTTATATACTACACTTTTCCAATGTTATACAGATAATACACTGAACTCCATGGAAGTGGATTTGGTTGTCCCTATTAGTATAATTGCAGTGGGTGCTGCTTCACTTGAACCATATTTTGGTTCCAGTGAAGCAGCACTCACTGCAACAATTTGCAGAAAATTTCTCAATCACATCGTCGCGCATCGCATCGCGTCGTAGAAGTGATATCATGCATCGCGCTTTAGAATGTTGGCATGGCTGGGCATCACTGCCGGTAGTTCTGCCAAGAGGACGTACCCCGGATTATTAACCCCTGGTGGATCGGTTACACACAGAAACACAGCAGGTTCGAGGCAGTGTCTGCATGCGATACACCATGCACACAAACCTTCATAAGGCTCTTATGAGAAAAAGCGCGCTTTCAATCTGGAAACCACAGCAGATCGTTGACGCATTGCCCCAGCCGGTACCTCAGTTTGTCGCTACGTAATGTGGGCAGCAAGCCCCTTCAGACCCCTCGTGCAAAGTTGCATGCTCTTGGGGCTATGGACTCTTGGTTCAGCCACCAAAATATGAATGCAGTGGAGCTGCGTCAGCGGCGTACATGAAACGAGACAGCATTCGGTTCGTTTCAATCGATAATATCAACAAAGAATGAATTATTACAATGACACCAAGAGAAGCTTTCATGGCAATTAAGGCCAGCATGTCCATCCGTAGCCATGCAGCAGCAGCAACGATGGTACATCTCAAGAGAATACAACTACAAGTCCATACCCACTAAAATGTCATGCAAATTTTACAATATACAGAGTATAAAGACATACAAATTTCGCACTTTTGGATTCCTCAACAGTACCATCCTAAGCACAGGCATACTAAACGGGAAGAAAACACATTTATTTATGACATCGTATTCCTTTGGATGCTTCTGTCTTCTTGTTGTGCTATTTTCAACAAGGCAACACTTGTGCTCGTAAAAATACCAAAAAAACAATTTTGAGATTCCACTTAGTGCCATCGGTTATTCCAGGCAGGAATGCTCAAACCATTATCATCTCACTACACAACAATATGTACTTACTAAGATCCGCCATGAGAGCTTGGTGTCCGCGGCTCTTGGAAAGCGCAGCTCGTCTACTTCTCGATGCCAGTCGGCGAAACCAGCAAATCGGGGAGAGCAGTTTCTTCCATAAATAAAGGCCAAGATGGCGTTTGCGATTCAAATTTTCCACTCGGCGTCAAAGCACAACATTGAACTCATCATCTTCCATTGCTGCAAAGGCAAAGAAGCGAAGACAGGCCGCGAGAAAGGCCAAAACAATTGCCAAATTTCTCCCCCAACTGCCATTGTCGTCATCATCTTCACCAACACAGTTTTGTGCAGACTTTTTCCCGCGGGATCGGACCCAGGAAAATGAAAACGGCCCACTCAGTGGCCTGGCGCACGGACTGGGAAAACTCAATGTGAACTCGAAGAAATAATCGGCGCGAAAGCATGAAAAATGATCACTCACTCACGTCGCGACGTCGGCACGTCGAAAGTGTGGTAAATGTTGACGAGCGGGATGGGTCCCAATTCATTTCGTGCCCCATTTCTTTGAGCTGCGATGCAATTTAGGGTGCGTTCTTAAATTTTCCAGCTTCTAGAAGAAGAAGAAAAGAGAAGTCGAAGAAACTGGGATTCTTCAAGAACGGGTCTCGAAGAATTCGGAGATATTTTGCAGATGTCAAGCAAAATGGAGCGCCAAAGGGACCGTGATCTTGAGTGCCACGAAAATAGTATGCGCTGTGCGTATGTGAAAAGGGAAATGCGTACACTCATGATCAACACGTGGCGTTTAGCCTAGTTCGCATGCGCTGATCCGAAACCGCGGGAATCTCCAAGTTTCAACCACCTCTGAAGCTTGGAGAGCTTCGAGAGCTTTGGAGAGCCTCCTAAAATTCGGAGAGGATATAAGAACAGCTCTCGAACTTTTCGGAGAGTCTCCAACTTTTCCGAGAGGATTTAAGAACGCACCCTTACTCTCACGATGTGACGAAAACGACATCGACACAGACACATTCCCAAGGCCATGACTTGGCAAAGCCATCCGTATCGCTTCGACACCATTGTGGGAAAAACAGACGCCTGCGAAAGCTGATAGAAGACGGCGCTGATTCCTAAATTGTTGTTGTTGTGTTTATTTAAATTCGCAAACCGAACGGACTGAACATGTCCAATGACAAGGAAGCGAATGAAGTCCAAATAACCCAGGAATGGGGACAGAGATGAAAAGAAAATAATGGGAACAGAAGGTTCTCGGCAAAGGAAGAAGAGAAAGGAAGGAAAAAAAAGAATAATGGAGAAGAAGAAGAAGAAAAATCGTGGTCACGGCGAGAAGAAAGCTTTTAGCAAAAAGACAAAGGAAAGGATGAAGGAGAAAATGGGGAGACACATCGTGGTCACGGCCAAAGCCGGAGTAGCGGCAGGACACAGTAGACAAAACAACACCAGGAACAAGCACGCATGAAGCATGGGCCATGCCGGCCCAGAAGCGGGAGACCCCGAAAGGAAGAGAGAAGAGAAGAGAAGATAGAGAAATCGAAGCATTCCACATCTACATGTACGCCCACACATCCACACATCCACACACCCACACATCCACACACCCACACATCCACACACATACATCTACATGTACATACCCACACCTACGCACCAATACACACATACTTAGACACATACCCCCCCCCCCCCACACACACACACACACGCGCGTGCACACACACACACACACGCGCGTGCACACACACACACACACACAACACACACACACATACACACACACACATGTACATTGACAGCCACACATACAATTGCTTTGCAATGTTCTCAGTTCATAGAAGAAACGGGACTGCGGCAGCACGGAATTGACGAGGAACAGAGATGGAGCGAATACTGCTTGGCAGGTTGTTCCAGCATAGCGCACCCTGGAAGGCGAATGTCCCCTTTCCAGAGTTGCTGCGGGCGG